TTAACCGAGTGCCTGTCTAAATGCGAATAGCGCGACTTCTACGGGATACGTGAAGGAGGATACATGTCGTCGTTGAACGATACGTCGGGGCTCTTCTCGCCTTGAGAAGCACGCGCAGCCTTCCCGGATTAGCGACCATAACTCTTACACGCGAGCCCTCTAAACACCCCGATTTACGCGATGTGGATCTAAATACGCGATGCCTCGTTGCTACCGCGCATCCTCCCTTCTGTTTCAGCATCCGTTCTGGACCGCCTAGCGAGACAGCCTTCTACTGCAATTCCCTTCTTCTAACTGCCTTGTAATCGCTGCTCTCGTTAGGCGAATTTCAAGGCAACTTGCAATCTTTCAAATGTCACATTTTTGCATAACGTTAAGTGATATAATCGAGCGAAATCAGGTTAACAGAAACGTAAACAACAACATGTAAATATGGATAAAAATAATTCTTCATACTGGAGACTAGCGTGCGTGTTTAATACTTTCATTGCAGCAGATTTTTTCTTTTTATTCGTTAGAAATGAAAATTTTTCACTGGAAGAAAAGTATTTAGAACAAATAGCAATGAATAGCAAAGGCTCTGAAAAATAAATCAAAGTATAAAGATACCTATTGTACTATAATTGGAAAAATAATTATGATTGGAAGTTCTATTTTTATAATAATTACTCTATGGTATTAGTAATAATAATTATATTTATATAGCTCTATAAACACAACTAAAATTATATAGTTAGCACCGAAAATTAACTATGATTTATCTAAAATAAACTCAATACAAGTATTAGAAAATTGAATCAACGAACACAATATTAGCGAATTCACACTTTTTGATCATATCGCTTTATAAATTTCTGTATTTCAGTATTAGTTTACTCTTCAAACTTCAATACTATTATATTAATACATATAATTATTATTAAATAATCCATGTTTTCCTATTTAATAAAGTAAATGTATAATACCAACTTTGATGGTTGGAAGCTATTGAAATTTATATTAGCTTTAATATCTAGTGTACTAAATTTGATATAAACGTTAAATACAATACCGCCAAGTATTATATTTAATATTACTACAGTGACTAACAAACGTGACTAACATCAACAACAATTGAGGGGATGGGTGGAATAAAGGCCTAATTACAGAATCTTGATATTAATAAAAATTAAAATAACTTACTACTATATTATCATACACAAATGGGTGCAATATCAAATGAATTTATGTAATGTCTTTAAAATACTTTCCTATTACACACGATCAATATTACATAAAAAATCTAATTGCCGGAAAAAGGGCCTAAGTAGAATTATGCCTTTATTCTACTCATCCCCTCAATTATTAGTTTGTAATATGAGAAAATTACATGCAAAAGTCCTTTACTCTTTGTATATCGCCCTTCGAATAAATATTTGTTGCACGCCTTTGATAAGCTTTACCTCAGCGAAGGCTCGAGACTATTGGTGATTATCTTCCCGGCGTATATCTGCGTAACACAGAGGACATCGATAGTCTTAGGTTTCACCCCTGTGAGTAAGAGACCGACGGGATTAATTGAGCGAGCAGGAGCCATGTCGGCGAGGCCGTATCTTGGTCTATCTATCTATCTATCCGGACATTCAGCGATTAACGAATAATAAAGTCCGTAATACGAACCTCAACGACGGAGCTGCGCTTATCGTGCTCTCCCTCTCCCTCTTTCTCTTTCTCTGTCTATTATCCTCTCCGTAAATGTTCCTTGCCGACCGACCGACTCGACGATCGCGCGTAGAAAGATGAGCCCCAAGCAATCGTATACCGGCGATATTGTCGACCACCGTCGAGCGACAGAGAAACTGTCGACGAGAAACCCGTCTCGATATCCCGTCGAGAATAAAGAATAAGAAGAATGCCGTTATCTAACAGCGATAACGAATCCTTCGATTCCGAAAGATCTTGCTAATCGAGATCGCATTGTCCTCGCGACCTCGACATGTTCGGAAAATTTCTCGAAAGTGCGGAAGGATTTGGAAATATGTAAATCTTTTTAGGAGAATATACGTAATGATAATGCCACTTCCATGAATATATGTGTGTATATATACAAAATTTATTGACTAAGAATTGAAATAAAAAAAAAACGTTCGATCCTTCCTTTTGAGTCTCCTTTTAGTATTGACTTCACAATTATTATATACGTCAAAATTAACTATAGATGTAAACATTTAATATCAATTCTAGTACAAACTTATAACCAGGGTATTAATAATTGGGTATTAACTCTCTCTAGTTAAAACGTTAAAAGTTAAAAAAAATTAAAAAGTTAATAACTTTTAACTTAACTTAGTTAATTTTAAGTACATTAATTTTTAACTTAATTTAGTTACTTCTAAACTTTAATTTATTAACTTTTCTAAATTAAAAATTTTCCTATCTCTCTTAATGCTAATATTTTTTTCTATAAAATTTTAAACATTAGAGAATTAATTTTAAAAAAGTTAAATAATTTTATGATTAAGAGACTCTATAATAAGAATCACACCATACAGTAGCCACTTTTTATTCTCGTTTTATCAATTCCCGCTTATATTTGAATCGATTCAAATATAAGCGGGAATTGATTAGTGTGATCACACTAATTTTAGGTGTCATAAACATTATATTTCAGCAACGTAAATATGAAATGAGCCTTGTTCAATTTCTTCACTTCCAGATAAGTTGCGGATAACTTTATCCAGGAGATATCTCCATTGACAATGGAGACGTCTTTTGGCTAAAGTTATCTAGAGGTGCAGAAATTGGGCATTAGATGAAGAATTGTTGTAAAACAGTGCTGCACATCCACCCATTTTCTAAATTTTTATGTGTATTTTTTGAAATAAATATCTAGTCGATGTAGTCGTAAACATGCGTGAACAGTCGTTTCGGAAATTGAAGAAAATTAGATAAAGGTTAAAGAAAGAGTAATGATACAAATATATATCCTTCTCTCTCGCAAGATTTAAGAGTAAAAAATTATTGAAGACCAATATTCTCTCTCTCTCTCTCGGCAAATTTTAGTAATTGATATCTTGTTAACTATTGCGAAAATTGCAAAATGATAGAGGACTTTGACTTAATTTAGTCCGCTCTATCTATACAAAAGCGCTTGGCAAAAACTTACGGGACATTCTGTATATAAGTAATTTATACGTGAATAAAAAAATTAAATTTATCTAATAATCTATATTGTAAGTATTATTTAAAGTAATCTCATTTTAAGAAAAATTAGGGCATTCTTATTTCAAAAACAATTTTTTTCAAAGTTAACTTTTTTTTAAACTTAAGTTAATTCAATCTTAACTTTTATCAAGTTAATTTTTTATTTCTTCAGTTGTTAACTTAATTTGATTAATTTTATAGCATAGTAACATGAAATTTAGCACATCACGCGGCATTTTAATCCAGTTCACTTTAAATTAATCTGATACTTAACTATATATATATATGGTATATATATTTGATCATGTTAAATTCTAATTACTCAAATTTCTATGACTATGAATTTATACTTTGATAGCCTATTATTTTATTTTTGGACTCCTTATTTCAAGATGCTTATTTCAACAATTATGCAACACTATACAATCCACTTCATTTTACTGCAAAAGAATTAATATTAAATGTATAAGTCTATAGAGAGCCAATTTTGATGTATGTAATAATTAAGTCGGTACTGAAGAGGATCCAAAACAAAGGAAACATTTATTTTTTAATAATATAATATATTATAGGACCGTATATATGATAACATAAACTATAGAAATCAAAGCCTTAAACGGTCTAGCTGGATCTTAATGTTTGTATGATTCTTATGTGAATTTATATAAATGTATAAATTCACATATATAAGAATCATACAAGCATTAAGATCCAGCTAGATCGTTTGAGGCTTCGATTTCTATTATTTATTTTTTATTTTAATTATTCTTTTAGTCAATAAACACACGCCTACAACCAGTATTGGCTCCCAGCATATTGGCATTATGATTTCATTTGTTATTTAATTCGTTAGAGCATAAACATTTCAATCCTTTAGAAAGTCAACACAATTTATAGATCTACTCATATTAATTTTTATTTCCTTAATCGTATTATTACTTATTAAGACGGCGAAGACACATGATATTGTTAACGCAGCATGAAATACCGGTAAATCGTCAATGCCGCTGCTGAACATTAAATCATAAGCATTTCGTCACCGTCGTGAGATAAATAGTGGGATATTTCTATGTTCCGTGGAATTAGGCGCGCGACGTCGACGACAATTTCGTCGGTGAAGGAGAGACCGTAATCGTGCAGAGATGCGAGAATGTGTGACTAAACGCCGCGCGGAAAGATCGGGGCTCTCCTCTCGCGCGCCGCAGGCTGCCCGCGGTATATCATTCTCTCTCTCTCTCTCTCTCTCTCTCTCTGTCTTCTCCTTCTTTCCTCTGTCATCTCTCGCGGAGAGACCCTCCCTCGCGACGACGAATGCTCTCGACTACAGTTTTGTATTATTAGAACGCGGCCTTTAGCAACAACCCGCTCGGCTTCTTTCCGCCGAGGCTGCCGGGTCGATTCGGGAATTCATCCGGATTAGATTGCCATACTTTATTTCTCTTATTCAATCGATCTCAACTTAATTGAAATTAATTTAGACATGCAAAAGGTAGAAAATTGATAAGAGTTGAACATTTTTACTGATCGATCATATTTTGTTTCTAACGCGCATAATCGCCGATAACCGAAGAATTTTTAGGTTATAAAAACTTTTTTATTTCTTCACTAGACTACATTAGAACTTTCTTTTTCGCCAAATATCAAACATATATATCTATTTCATTTAAGTTCCGAAAGTGTACACTAGTTCGGGTATAGAAAACAGACTTCCTGCAGATAAATAAAACTGATTTTTTCCCTTGACTCATTACGATATTTAGATATAGTAAAGTTTGGAGACCACAAGGCGCGTAATGGAAATAATGAAGAAAATGTACCTTGATGAAGAGGCGGCAGGGGTGACGGCGGAGACAGCTGAAATGGCTCCTGTTTGATCTTCAGAGAATGAGGAGAGTCCTGCATACTACTGAGTCCTGCGGAGCCCAGATTACCATTTCCCTGCTGCAGCTCCTGAAACCGTCATTAAATTAATGAATCCTTTTGTTCTTTCTATGTCTTTTTAACCAACAAAACTGTTCGTATTACATACATTTCAATATTATTCAGAGGATTGAGATTGTTTTAATTTCACATTGTGTGTATAATGAATAATTATTGTACAGATATCATATTATGTACAGTCAATATACAGATAGAAATACGAAAGATATATAAATCAAATATTTTTGCAAGTGAGGTATAGCTTCTCATCAACGAATACATCAATATATTCTGGAAATATTCCTTACACAACATTTAATTATGTATTATTGTATAAAACTGTTGGCTTTATATTTCGGTATTATTCGGGGAATTAAGATTATTTAATTTAATATAATACAATAAATAATTAATTATTAGATGTATATGGATGCCATATTGATGTAAAGTTAATATACAGATTACATAAATATCGAAGAATTATAAAAATACAAAGCTATGTTTCTCTGTCTCTATAATTAAGGATTGAAAATCACTATCATTTTTATAATAGACTAAGTAAACTAATTAAAAGCCATAAATATATGAATACAAAATAAAGGCTATTATTACGCATCGATTAAAAATACCAAAAGTAACTTAAGTATACATCGCTAAGAAAGATTCGATTTATCGAATAGATCAGTTATTCTATGGAATGAGATTCTCGAAAAGAAGTACAGCGTGGACGCTGTAAATCTTCAATAAAGGATGCCGCATCGACGAAGTAAATTCACGTCATCCTAAAATACTTCCTAAAACATAATCACTCGTGTAGTAAAGTTTGGAACTCTGCGGACGGAGGTAAATGAATCAGGATAATCGTAGCGGGACAAACCAGGGTATAATTGTGGCGATAATAAAGAAGTTTCTTCGAAGGAAGAAGAGAGAGAGAGAGAGAGAGAGAGAGAGAGAGAGAGAGAGAGATATGAAAGCGAACAGGCGGAGTAGGCTAAAAGACTTTTGGCTCGGTGCTTGCAATGTTTGAAGTGCCGTCACCGGAAGCTTACAAACACCGACTGAGTGTTGTGACATCGTATTATGCCGGGACGAAACTTACGGTCTCGCTAGATCGTTAATTTGCAATCCGATTTTACGAGGCTCCTAGGCTGCTTCGCGAATTCTGAGTCGCAAAACTCGGTAATCTTCGAACGGCAAAAAAATAAATAATTGTAGATAATATCTAGTACCTTGTGTCGTACCCGATGCATTCATTAATTTATTTCTAATTTTTAAATCCGATTTTCTTGAAAACAAGGGATCAAAAAATCAAGATGGGTGAAAAAATGTCATGTCTTCAATCTTTTCTCTTGTGACTCTATGGTTAATATTGATAAAAAACAATTTTGCTTATCAATTTGAAAATTATTGGAAAAACATAAAGTTCATAAACAAAATAAAACGTATTCTTAAAGGAGACCAAAATCGAGAAAAATAATACATTGTTATAAAAAAAATAAAGATTTCTCCATGGTAGAAATTAATGCATTTTTTCAATTTTTTGACAGTTCGAAATTTTATGCAATTATTGGACAATTATATTAACTCTGTTTAGTAACTAACGAATAACCCTACCTTTGTGTCACTCGATGATTTTATTCAGTAAATGATTTTACTCAGTAGATTTGTAGAGTAGTCACGCATATTAGACACGTACTTTTTTATATCGACAAAGGTGCAGTTTTAAGAGTGAAAACGACTCCTTGTATTTATAAATCAGTAATTAATTTATTGAACTTAGAGCTATTTTTTAGTCTTAGAGATATGACAAAAGATTTTCATGTTGCTGAAAGGAAATTCAATATTGGAATTATAGAAATCAAAATGGCGGATCTAATAAAGCAAACTGATAAATTCGAACAGTCTCTTATCTCGCTCTTTGCTCAACCAGGGAACTAACGAGGAGATGAATGGAGAGCCTATTTTTATTTTGTTTTTTTTTGTATTTTTGTCTTTTATTATTTAAAAAATTTTTTCTGTTTTTTAAATAAATTTTTTAAATATTAAATATATAGAAATGTACATGTGAGAACACAATAGGAAATAAATGCCTTTAACGGTCTAGCTGGATCTTAAGTGCTCGTATAATTCTGTGTGAATTTATGTATTAGATGCGCAACTTAATTCTCGGCCCCTAACTTCAATCGAGTACCTATTCAAATTTACATATCTTTCCCGCCATATTTAAGCTTTCAAACGCACTGTAATTATTGGCGGTTGTACTATCTAACTTAAAAAAGAAGTGTTAAAAGCAATGTCGTTCGAGAAGTAGCATTTGAGGCATTACCTTCTTTTCGATTTTCAATTAAAAAAAAATGCCGCTGAAGCACAGCAAATGATTTACTCGGATTTGGGAGAGGATGCTGTTTCTTACAATATCTGTAAGAAGTGATTCCAGCCAAGTTTAAGAGTGGAAATTTCGACCTTAATGATGAAAAACGTCTGGAACAGCCAAAGAAAGTCAACGATGAGAAACTGGAACAACTTTTGGAAGAGAATTTCTGTTGCACACAATCGGAGCTCGCACAGGAACTCGGAGTAACACGGCAAGCCATTTCTAAGCGTCTACATAAGCTGGGAAGAATTCAAAAGGAGGGCCATTGGGTTCCCCACGAACTCACAGCTGAGAACAATCGTAGACGCTATGATATTGCTATCCCGATTCAAAAAGAAGGATTTTCTGCACAAGACTGTGACCTGTGAGGAAAAATGGATCCTCTACGATAATTCAGAGAGGCGAAAATCGTGGGTTTATCCGGGATTGCCTTCGACTAGTACCACAAAACTGAATATCCACGCCAAGGTGTTGCTGTGTATATATGGTGGGATCAGCAGGGCGTCGTTCATTACGAATTGCTCCAACCTGGTGAAACGGTCACTGCTCAGCGTTATCAGCGGCAACTGATTCGTGTTAGTGACGCATTGAAGGAGAAAAGGCCTTACACCGGCAAGGGAAGAAGAAATGTCATCTTGCTTCAGGATAACGCGCGGCCACATACAGCGAAAACAACTTTGAAAACGATCACCGACTTGAGCTGGGAAATTTTATCACATCCGGCGTATTCCCCAGACTTCGCCCCTTCAAATTATCACCTTTTCAAATCCCTGTAACCACTTGACTGACACTCATTTCACTTATGTCAAGGATATCGAGAAAAGTATGGTCGAATTTATAAATTCAAAACAACCCTCTTTTTTCCGAATTCGGCAGCTCCCCGAAAGATGGCGCAAATGTATAGAAAGCGAGGAAGATTATTTTGAAGATTAGGTAACTATTCGACTTTTTATAAATTAGTATCAAAGTTTAGTGAAAAAGGCCGAGAATTAAGTTGCGCACCTAATATGTACTACGTATGTAACCCTTTAAACTGCGCGCCGAAATAATTTTTCTTGAAATAATTTTTTTAGATTTTTCTTTTTTTTCTAACTACAATATTTTTCACGCCTCACTTATATTTAACTTTATTCCAATTAATTTAATCTTTTATACGCAAAGAATTTGATTTCTGTAATTCCAATATTGAATTTTCTTTCAGCAATATGAAAATCTTTTGTCATATCTCTAAAACTCAAAAATAGCTCTAATACCTGGAACTTAAGTTCAATAAATTAATTACTGATTTATAAATATAAGGGATTATTTTCATTTAAAATTGCACTTTTGCCTATATAAAAAAATACGTGTTCCATATTTTTGACTACTCTACAAATCTACTGAGTTTTAATAAAATCGACGAGTGATACAAAGATAGGGTTACTTGTAAGAAATAAAACTACTTAAGAACCCAAGTTAACATTTTACCTGCAGTTACTGCTCACAAAAGATATCAATTGTAAGCATTTACTGAACAAAAATAGGACAATAAATGAACTATGCAGTATTTTAACTAATAATAATTAATACACACCTTTGGGTCATTCGTGTCTTGCACATTTCTTTTCTTTGATTTATATACAACAATTATATATAATAATTTATTATAAATATACAACTTTATAAATACTTTCTAAAGATGTTAAAATATACGTAAAAATCAAATAATTTTGATACTTGTAAAAGTGATGAAAATTAATCCAGGACACGAAAGAACCATCTGTAGAAAGGGTGTCAAAAACTAAGGTGTGTATTAAGAGTTAATTAAAAATAATTTATTAATATTATATAATTGGATATATAATATAATTTAAATAATATTTTATTAATAGTAGAAATAACTGGACAAGTTGCACATATTTTTCCCAGGAATTGCTTTAAAGCTACTGGATCAAATTCTTATCAAAATTTTTACCTATTTCCTACGCAGTATTGTTACAACTAATGAGAATATAGTAATAGACAGTAAATGGATGAGTGTCTAGGAAAACTGCATACATTTCTACCAAGATTATTTCTCAAACAATATAGCGATATGTATACAAATTATAATGCTTAAGAATTAAATACAAAGAGATTTAATTTTATGTACATCTATAACTAAAAACTTAATGAACATATAGTGCAATCGTTAAAAATTTAAGAAAAAAATTATAATTATAATGCATGAAAACTTATAATTATATTATTCATCGCGTCAGTTTTATCGTACTAAAAATAATTCCTAAGATCTTATCGTTTCCGGTCAGAATTCGCAGAATCGTAATCCTGTTATGTTTGCGCACATTACTGTTCTCATGGACAGTCAAAAACCTCGTGGTAAATTCATGTTACAAAAGATCGGCATGGATCAACGACAAAGCAGACTGTAATATTTTATTATCGCAGTTTCGATAAAAAGTATCTTACTCTCGTCTGTTACTTTTCGCACGATACTTTCGCGTGATATTCATGAATTACTCTCAGGAAATGTTTTGAAAGCAAGTCATTATGAATCGTTCAAAAATTATCTACGTCCCAACATATGTTAAAACGGGGTCAAAGAGAATAATTTTGCAATCATTTTTCAATGTCTGTGTACACAAAAATCGCGCAGAAGATTAATTTTTTTCTTTAAATATAAAATATATTTACTAAAAATTTTTTGACATAGTACCAAGAAAATGTTTATAAATCTTTAGGTAAATAATAAGACTTTCAACTGTAGAAACTAATATAACTCGTCCATAACTTCTTTTTAAGTTAGTCTACATAAAAGATAATACATCTTGTTATATATCACGGAAAGAATTATTTTGCAAAATGATCTAAAAATTTTGTTGGACAGATTTTTTGACAATTTGGTTGAAAACTCACTGGTTGCAGAATATAAAATTTTTTGTAGCATGCTCGTAATTTTTGAATTTCCAACACAATTATTTTGATAATACAACGAAATTATTTTCAGATCAGTATTAAGCAAAAGTTTAGATCTTTTCAATAATAAAATCGTTCTTTTCGTATAGATCTCTAATAATTGTAGAACGATCGAAATGACTAATTTCTAAAAGAATATAGAAGGTTTTAATATTCATCTTCCCATTTAATCATCTCGTTGAAATCCTTGAGAACTCGAATGAACAACGAGCTAACGAGCGGATGGTAATCAGAGTTGTTATCGATTTTTAGCTCGTGTTCGCAAAGTTGATCGCTACACTAGACTGATCGATGGAACGACACGCTCGATAACCCAGTTTTAATCCATTCAGCGATCACCTCGTGGATAAACCGCATGTGAATAAGATCTATGAAGTTAGCACGATATTCTAAATATAAACAAAATAATGACAGTTCTTGTAGTAACACTTTTCATAGTTCTACAATTCCTCATGAAAATAAAAAAGGATGTTTTATAAAGAAAAACCAAAAATGAAGATATAGCATACTATAATAACTTCATAGATTCATGCGAATAGCGATATTGAAATTTCCGACAAGGAAATTCTTTACCGAAATTTCGTTTAGTAAATTGGAAATCATTAAATTCTATTTAACTGCACTTTCTCTTTTTGTTATTTTTTACTTCCAAAGTTCGCAACTTTTTTTCGAGACGTAAAAAAAAGTCTAAGATAAGCAAAGAGAATTTTTAAATAAAATGTATCGATAGAATAAATTATCTCGATAAAGTTGCTCCAAAATATTGCGTGAAATCATTGTGGAGTAAATGTCGTAGAAGATGTGAATCGCGAGTCGTTGTGAAATTTTTGAGGTTACGACCCGCCCGATTCGTTTTCCTTTTCGTTCTCTTGTTCGAAGATAACGAAAGCGTGCATGACGATGTTAAGTCGATCGTCTCTCGCGTTGTTCCGCGAAATGGAGAAAATCTTCATAAAAAAACTGACTGATAGTAAGAGCGATTGCCAAAATGTAGATAGGATAACCATGGTTCATACTCTATATTAATAACTTATTATCACTACAAGTGAAACTAGAGGCATTTCAAGTATCTCATTCTAGCATTCCCGAAGTATCTAAATAATTGATTTAAATTTCTTATTCAACTTTGAAAAAAATTTTTAATCGATTGCCTGCTTCGACCTTTTCGACACACAAATATGATGTCCACAAATATTATATCGACTATTGAATCAATGCTTATAAAAATTAAACATTAAATAGTTCTAATTAATAATTACATCCAAAGAAAGGTTTCTTCGATTTAAAGAAATGTTGCTTTGCTATACAGTTAAAGAAAAAAATTTTTTTTATTTGCATGTCATTTCTTTGATTTAAACGTTATTTTTTGAAATTAAATAAAAAATGATTTATTATATTAATAATAATATAAAGAAATTATGGTCAGATCAAAGAAATTACGTTCAAATCAAAGAAATTTTTTCTTTAACCGTATAGCAAAGAAACATTTCTTTGAATAGAAGAAACCTTTCTCTGGGTGTAAATAAGATTATGAATGTTAGATTCATCAAATTCGCATTCAATCCGTTTTCACCAATGTAAATTAACCTTAATCACAGTTCAACTCGTCTAATTTTAATACGCATTTCTACCAATGTAGTTTAATTTTAATCGACTAACTCCCCACCTTTTTCTAATTCTAAGAATTAAAAAAAGATAAAAATTAACTTTTATGTAAATTAACTTCTAATGTAGATTAAGTTCAATCCTAGTTCTACTCTTTATCTTTTTCTAATTCATAAAACTAGAAAAAGATAAAGAGTACGTTGAACCAAGATTAAAGTTAATCTACATTGGTAGAAACAAGTATAAGAATTAAAAAAGATGAAGAACAAATTGAACCAAGATTAGAGAGTTAATCTGTATTGATAGAAACGAGCTAAAAGATGTTTTCGCGAACTTTTTTCCACTTACCCCAGAAACAGGGATGATGTGTGAAACCATCCTGGACCTGTCCACGTAATTCATAAAGGCGTCGGCCGTCGCCGCTGCATTTACCCGATGCTGCTGCAGCTGTACCCAATCACCAGTCGGGCTATCCACAATTGCACCGCCGACGGCTTCGACAGATAAGGGTAGAACAATGCCTCCGAGTTCGTCAAGATTTTAATGTCCAGACTCTTGTTTCACTGACACTTCGAAGTCATGCGATCGTTTCATGCTCCCGGAATCGTTCGTGATAAGCAAAACACTCGTTTCACATCGGCGACACAATTCATATATAATACCGCAATCGTTAAAGGAAGCTAAAATTGTCCTGGATATAATGTGGTGGAAAAGTGCATCGCAAAATTGGTATTGCGATCTCGCACTTTACATCTTCAAGAAAAATGCTTCGTGATAACCGAACGCGAAGGTTTCGAAAGATTTTCTTGAACCGGAAAACACGATTGAGAAAATCTGTAACAGAATAAACATACACATTCTTTTCATCTTTTGCGTATTTACGAAATTATTTAATTTCTATAATGCGCTTGTACACGAAAGAGAAAGAATTAATTGGAAAACTATCAAATTGATTGCTTAGCAAGAAACAAATCATTTAATCATATGTATAAAATAATAAATTTAAAAAATTACAATTCAATTATAATTCGAAAATCAAATTTAAATTTACAACTTCGGCAAATGGAACCAAATACTTTTATGATTTTTTTTTATAAATATTGTATTACATTTGTTACATATGATTATACACATATATATTATAATTAATTATTAGTGTATCGTTTTTTCGCTAAATATAAATATATTTAACAAATATATTTATATTAAACCAAAAAACAATATCTTAAAGTTATTTTTGAATGTAACTCTTGAATGTATGTAATCACTAAAGATAAAAAGTAATCTTGTTTATGTTGTTATTTTTAATTGCCGAAAGTTACGCATAAAAACTTCTGTATCAAAATCTCTGCGATATGTATCACGCTAAAGTTAGACTGTACATAATTTTTACTGCTTGTCAGCTTTCTGAACTGCCCGATTCGCAATCCATGTACAATGCCGAAAGAAAAGCTGACGCAATCATTAATGTAATGCTGTCCCGAATTAGGTCAGCTGACTCAGTGAAAACCCATACATTCGCAGTGTCAAAATAATAATTCAACATACACGGTCTTACAACTGATAAGAGATTAACTTCGTTATGGCCTTCGGAATGCAATCAAGAGAAAGAAAAAACAAAACAAATCTACGAACTTAATCATCGAAGCATCCGTTATTCCTGATGCATTTTCTTCTTTCTTTTTTATAGTACTTACTTTCTTGGACTGGAATCAATTCAGTCAGGCTAATAGATTATCGAATTAATTCAATCCATTTCCTATCGTTATAGATTAACTTTAATCTTGATTCAATTTACGCACTCCATCTTTTTCAAATTCTTATATAAAGAGGCTTTCTACAATCGGCTATTAGTAATAAATCAGAAATCAGAAGCTAAATTGACTGACCAATCATAGTTGATTATTCTTCTCACATTCAACTGTGATTGGTCAGTTCCTAGCTTCTAACTTCTGAGTTCTTACTAATGGCTTGTTGTAGAAAGCCTCTTAGGGCAGGAGCACAGATTCTTGCCTAACGCATAATGCATAAGAAAATCAACTAATCAGAATTTTTTATTTCATGAAAAGGAAAGAAATGAAGAACTTTGATTACTTCATTTTCTTATGTGCATATGCAAGGCTGGAGCATAGACTTTTGTATAATGCATATGCATAAGAGAACCAACCAATCAGTCTTTTATCTTATGAAAAGGAAAGAAATAAAGGCAAAAATGTTGTATAAAAAATGATGTACAAATAAAATACAAAAAAAACAATGTATGACCGCAAACATGGGTTAGTTTGATCAGAAACTTTAAAAAAAATTTTATATTCACATTTGGCGAGTCTTTTCATGCAATTCGTTATATTCCCGGTATGTACAAATAGGCATTAAATTGAAATTTGTCATTAGTATACAATGCTGACAAGGGAGATCGATGTTTCCCGATCAGAAGACAAAACAGAGAAAAAGGAGTTTAAAACGATCGCGATATCGAAATTCACGTTCCAGCGTGTTATAAACGAGCAACGACACACACCGTCGGCGATGATACATTATTTTTACGAGAACGCCAGCACGAGACGAGAGGCGCGATGTCTCTACACGCCGTCGGCTGACGGTTCGGAGGGATGACGAGCGCGCAACAGCTGAACACTTAGCGCCCTTAGTGATTGGGAGGAAAGGGACACCTCGGGGTCCCCGGGGACTCATCGGGACTTCCGCCGGCGTTGGCAGAAGAAATTTTTACTTCGTCTGTGTCGTAAATCCTGCCCCGATCGCGGTGTTTACGATTTTTCGAGGTCGTTCCCCTTTTGATTTAGCCAATTCTAAACGCTTCTTTAAAAATTCTCAGGAATTTTTTTCGAAGAATCATGAACTGAGTTAATAGAGCACTCTTATCGAACATTCGCACGGTTAACCGGGCCAAAGATAATTTATACATATATCTGTTGACGGGAAATTGCTTGCCCCTCGTTCTGTTCTTTCCGTCGATTAGATTGTGTGTTTGTTAGGCGACATTATATTTTTATATCTTCACTAATTCGTAATCCGCCGCAATTCTGTTTGTAACGAAAGGTCTGTTGCGAGAGGTCACGGGTGATAAGAAAAGTGTAAACAGTTCTATTAATCGACGGTCTTAACGTTTACGTTTTTTAAACCTTACTAATGTGTATTTACAATTTTTAATGTTTCCAATTTGTTTGAAAAACATTTCGCGAATCTCGCATATATATAAGTGTCTGTATTTTTAAAAAAGATTAAATTCCACAATCATACATAGAAACGTAAGGAAATCTTAAGATTTTCAAGTAATTTCTTATTTCTTATAATATCGATTCTAAACTCTCTAAATTTCTTGGAATGTAATCTTACTCCAAAAAAATGAAAATACTGTCATATTAAAAAAGAGTGAAAATATTTACACTCTTTCTTGAATAAGAGTACAGATTTTCACACTTTTTGAGTGAGATTCACCTCAAACAAAGAGTGAGATTTATTTTCTATGGAATAAATCTTACTCCAAAAGAATGAAAACCTGTATCTACTCTTATTCAAGAAAGAGTGCAAATATTTTCACTCTTTTTCAATAATGACAGTATCTCAGTCTTTTGGAGTAAGATTTTATTCCAAAAAATTTAGAGAAAAGAAACGCAAGCTGCCTGTAAAGACATGAATTTAACTAACAATAGATTACTTTAAAAACATCATAAAGGATCAAAATATTTATATTTATTATATCAAAAAAATTAATATTTAATAAATCTAATCACTACAATCTTTTTTTAAGATTTACTCCAAATTTCAGAATATTGAAAAATGTTTTTTAATTTTTCTATATTTACTCAAGTACATTTTATTGCAGTAATTATTTCATTATATACAAATATATATCTTTCGCATATTCATAGATAAGGAAATTTCGACTGTTCTTATCATTCAAATTAATGCAAAAATTATATGTAAGTATCATATTCTTTTCAATTGTTAAAATAATTTTTATTAGTTTAAAAAAGTTATTCATATATATATATATATATATATATATATGTGTGTGTATAATTGTACAGCTACAAATAAAATAAATTTTTATGATAAATCTCCTAAGTAAAAACATATTTTTTTACGATAAAGCAACAATATAGGTCCTTGGAATTCGCTAAAACTTTTGGTATTAGTTTTATTTCTTTTAAGAAATTTTCAAGTACACAGCTATGGAAAATGAGATTGCGAAACATAAAAATTTTTCCAAATCATTACTATTTAAAAATTAAGAAAAGTTTTAGGATCATCATAGGTTCCAGTTACAGATTAATAAACGTATAAATAAGTTGATAAATAGAAATCGTTTTTCATTGCTTTTCGTTACCGTTGTGCATCATATACAACTTTATTACCAGATGTAGAAGAATAAATCAAGTTTGGAAAGCAAAAGGAAATTAAATATACATTTGCTTCGCAACCATAAAAAAAATAGTGAAACCTCTTTTCTCGCTTCGGTAAACCAGGGATATCTTCGCTAGCAAGACATATTTAAAGGATACCAAGCTTGCTTTAAATTCTTGCAAGTTCAAACTTTCACGTTTAGGCTGATATTTCATGTGTCGTACGCTAAAGTTTTTCAAGCACGTTGATCGGCTGTAGGATAAAGAGGATCTTTCTATCCAGTAAACATGCTTAAAAAAATTTGTCAGACGATACATGAAATAATCAACCTTATAGTAAATTCGGTTGGACGCACTAGTTTGCACTAGTGCACATTAAAGCCGTTGTACATTGATTTAATCTGTGTAAAAGTAAAATGCAAATATTTCTAATTATAAAATACAAATTTTATTTAATAGCACAAATAAAATGTATTAAAAATTTCATGGTTTAATCTGTTTTTATATTTATATTAAACACATTCTTATATTAATTTGTATACGACAGCTATTTAATATGTACCAGTCACACTGAGTGCGTCTAATCACATTCGCTATTACAGTTTTGAATTGTAAAGAAGGACGCATATGCAGAAACGTGTTTCGATGTGAAATGACGATGTACTGACGTTAATCGGATTCACGTAAGTTACAGAGGGCAAACGGCGCCGATCAGTCGATCAATCGCCAACTCTTTTCCACGTTTAAGCGGAGAAAACTTCGCTTATCTTCCTGTACGCGCGTTGCAGCAAAAGAAGAAGAAATATTTATCTCGCTGTTTAGTAAACAGCCGCCCATCCGGACCGCTACAAATCGGTCGCGGCCCGATCGTGTGTGGAACTGAAGTTTACAAACTCTCCGATGATCTCGTGAGCCTCCGCGAGTCTTTGAGATAGCTGAAAAAATGTACGCGCGAAACCGGCGGCACGCGGCAACGATTACTTCTTCTTCCGCGCGAGTGATAATAAGGAATTTCATTCATCGCGTACCTCATGCGTCCTCTCTTTCTTCTGCCATCAATGATTCGTACTCTGAATTGCTAAATCTACGAAATAATTCGATTCATGCCCGATTAATGCCTGTTTCTATCAATGTAAATTAACTTTAATCTTGGTTCAAATTACTTTTCTAATTCTTAGAACAAGAAAAGTTGAAGAGTTAGTTGAACTGAAATTAAAATTAAACTACATTAAAAACAGGCATAAGTTACCAATTAAATAATAGTCATTAATTTACAGTAATTAATTCAATCGATTCTGTTCAAAAGATCGATATGAGACGATTTCAAGCAACTCCATAATTTTTACATCTAATCTATGTAAATACTATGAAATCTACAATAATCTTCTGTGAAAATAACATATTAACTATAGAGACGCAACAGATACCCGGCAATTATCCGGTATTCGGCCGGATAATTCGGCTATCCGGATTATTATCCGTTGCATTCCTATAATATTAATCCACAGAGTTGATGTCAAAATCTGTAACAATGTATAATACTGACGTTGGGTCTGTGATTCATTTAATTTAAATTCAATAAACGATGACCAATATCGAACTTATAAAAGATGTTAATATAATATATTCTAATAAGCTTGAAAATTATTTATAATAAGCGGTACAAGTTTTGATTTTTCTCTTCAGACTTTATAAACCGCATTAAAATAATATAAATTTACCAATTCTTAAAAAGTTAACGATACTTATAGAATCACAAAGATTGTCATCTCCTCTTCTGTAGTTACCAGTTGACTCATTTGACAATCACATGGAAACAATAAACTCAGATCTGATGGACTCATAATTTTTAATTCTGTGAATTTTATTGTATAATTGATAACAAACTTAATGATAAATGAGTATTGGAATAAGACAAGAAAAATATGTAATGAAAAGCGAAGATAGAAGGAAGATTTAAGTAAGAAAGACAATGCATTAGATAACAATACAGAATCTGTTAGCTACAGAAGAGGAGATGACAACCTTTGATCCTAATATTATTAACTTTTGATGTAATTTAGAATTGGTAGAGTAAAATCAAAACTTGTATCCCTTATTATAGATAATTTTCAAATTTATTAGAATAGACATCTTTTATAAGCTGGCCTTTGTGTATTAAATTTCAATTTTTATGAGTAGTATTATATTATAACAAGCTGGACTTTTATAATTAAAATATTCGTTTAATTTATGATTATTAAAAAGCACTAATTAATTTCAATAGGCCAAAATAATATAACTTGTATAAAAAAGAATATAAATATTAAGTTTGTTTTGATCAAAATTCAAATTTACAAATGTAACATAAAGAATATAATGAGTGGATCCAATTAGACCCACCGTCAGCTCCGGAAGATTAATATCAACTACTTCAATTTTCTAGGTCGTTCAGCTTTCTAAATCGTAACGCTAAATATAATATGGATACCGATAGGCAACTATAATCAGCTATAACATTTAAAATTAATCTTAAAGAATACACCGATTTTTTTATAGTCTAAGGTTTTTAATCATAAAAGGATATTGTAAAATGTAAAGCAACGATAAAATAGTACTTCAAACCGACACAACTGAATAATATTCTACTATAGCCTTTGCTTTATTGCTGATAATTTTGATAGTTTCGTTTTTAATAGTATTATAGATACGCAAGGATGCAACGCGACGTTTGCCATCGCTCGCTATGCGAAGCATACATAAAAACATGTGTTTCTATGCTATAAGAAAGAATGTAAATTACAGCAATAAGGAGTTTATGGAAATCATATTTGTAGAAATTTAATTTACTGTAATCCCACAGATAATGGAAATGTATTGCATGTTCATGTAACTTTACATGCTTTTTTAGAATATGACTATATCCACTGTGATAACATCTCTCTTTTCTATTTTTTAATTGTATATCAAACCAAACAAGAGACTATCTTTATATTTAAGAAAAAACAAAAGAAAAAACGAAAGATGTGGAAGACACGTTAAGAAAGAACAGGCTTAAGATTAATTTAAAAATACAGACATAAAACAGACAATCAACATGAAACAATTCGGCTATTATAGCGAATTTAACTAAATCCACGTAAAAATTAATTTACAGATTAATCCATTTAGATTCAACGTATAAACAAAAAGTAAAACTATTTCGATCGCCAAGATTCATGACTTTATAAATTTTACAAAACGATTCCTTCAGCTCTTTATCGTTGCAATTCTGTATGCTACATGTATCTTTTGACAACAATTCCTTTAAACATAAAAGTATGATCCAATCAACGTAAGGAAAACTTCCAACAGTTGCAAAATAAATGTTCTGTTAGACGCGATCATTTGCTCATTGTTCAACTAATGACAGTAATAATTATCGAGCGTTTCGAGAAACACGCTTGGAAGACCATCGTGTCTTTTTCCGCTAAAAGAGGAAAAAGAAAAATACAAAACATAAAAATACAAAAACAGTACCCTGTGGCGTAAACGTAGATCCTCCGGATCGAACTTCCTTCGTCTTTCGTCGAGGGTCACTCCGTTCACCGCGTTCACCGCGAGTTTAAACAATGCGATTTCGCGTCGCGGAAACTGGAACGCAATGCGAGCGAAAAACGGTCTTCGCGGGCGCGAAAAACGGATGCGGACGACGAGATGAAACCGAGGCGAGAGGCGAGATCGAGACTGGGCCGCGAAAGAAACGACCGGCCGGATCGCGGCGTTCCGTAGCGCGCGCGTGTGGTACGACGCGAAGGGAGTCGGAGGCGGAGTCGCGCGCGTTTCGTGCTAACTTCAGACCGCCCTTCTCGACGCGCGCCGGCCAGCCCGCCCGCGGCAATTTCACGTTGCATCATCTCACGTCGTGTTCCCCGCAACGATGACAGCCTTTTTTATTTTCTTATGTTGGACATCAAAATGTTTAAACGAAAATACTTATGAGATTTCCTATGTATAGATTTCGCTATTTTTTTCTAACAATTTCAGAACTTTTGAAGAAGTAATAAATAATAAAGATTTCTTGCATTATATTAATTTTATCGCAATTATTCACATATATTGCTCATTTATTGTAATAACATGACAAAATTATGATTTTAATTTAGTTGCACGCAGAAAAAAATAAAAACGTAAAGGAAAAACATACTTATAATAATTAAATAACTATTTTCATTATTCTACAACTAGTTATTACATCAAAATTGCATTTTATAATTAATATTACAAATATTTTAATAATTTGAAACATTTAAATTCATTTTTTAGAATGCTTCATTTTTGAATAATTATTATAGCAAATATAATAGCGATAAATTCCTCGTAATTCATTTTAAGAAAGAGAGAGAGAGAGAGAGAAGAAAAATAGTTAAAAATTTCGGAATAAATGATAAAATAAAGTATCCTAAAAAACAAAAGAAGATACCTATGATTAAATTTATCCTAATAGCGTTTCGCGCACTGCTTTAATCTTTCCGTCCATATTCAAATAATATTTCATATTGTTAAATTCCTATATTAAGGCTTAAGTTTCTGAGATTCTTTATTTTTATCGTTTTTAAAGTTAAATGGAACGTAGCTCCAACGATTAAAATAATCATAGTCCTTCATCATGATTTGTCTTTCATTAATTGCAACTGGAAACGCATCTCTTGATGCATTCAAATATTTTGCATAAGCCACGAATTCTTTTAATGAATTTTATAATTTCTGACATGAAAAAAAATTACCTAGCATTTTTTTGGCCATTATCCAACTTAACTTTCAAAAATGTATTATAAATTTTTAAATGTGTACAAACTAATTTCGATGGCAGATGCTTACTTGACCTGCGAAAAAGTCGTGACAAATCGAATGTCGGCCGCGAACGGGAGAATTATTATGTAATTGCACTTACGTAGCGCTTTGTGAGGCACGTTAAGCAACCATTGTTTTGCTCGATCGCTTAATCATCGGTTAGGATGGATGTCAGGAATTAGGGTCAAGAGAACGATATCGCATCGAAATCGCTGACTCTTGTCAAAGATATCGCGAATCGCAAGCACGAATCATATTCGCGAGGAAAATACCGAGAAGATACGATTATTCGACAATTACGCTCCTCGCAATATGTAGGTATACTGTATCAAATCCACATAAAACATTCTTTTTTATTTCAGCTCCTTTGTACATTAATGTGAAGATGGACGAATTAATGCATTTTGTTCCAATAATGCATTCGCTAATTGATTATAAAATGGAAATTTGAGATTATTATTGAGCAGCCCGGTAAAAACGAAATAATAAATGTACAGAACGTATTCGAGTATAGAGTTTAAGTACCTAAATGAATTTTGTGAATTATGGATAATATATCTTATTCTATAACAGATTTCAATCTCAATTAAAGATAAAGCTTTTTAGATCAAATTGCGATAACGCCCGAAGGATATCATAAATAAATAATAAAGCTCTATCTTTTCCATTAACATTATTTAATATTAAAATTTTATACATAAGGAACAGAGAGAGTAGATAGATAAGACGTTTATTATTGTTCTAGGGCAAGCCCTTTAAAAATATATACAGATAATTAAGAAGAAAGTACAAAGAAAAATAAGTAGAATATAAGAAAAATTATATAAAGAAAACGAAAAAAAGGAGAAAAGAAAGAAAAGAAAAAGAAAATACAAAAAGAAGAAAGAAAACTACCGAGATTATAAAATTTTAAATCTTGATAAGAAGAAGTCATTGTAACAAAATTATAATTCTTTCTTTCTTTTGTTATTTTTCATTTCATTTTTATTAAAAAAGGAGTCATTACAATGACTTGTTTCAAACAAGTAATATATTTATCAAAATTTACCTCTTTTTTATTTATATATTATATGTACTTATCTGATAAAAAATGAGTAGTAAAAATAATATGAGCTAAAGGGCCATAGGAATCGGCGCAATCTAGTTATAGCGCCGACTCCTACGGCCCTTCAGCTCATATTATTTTTACTCGTTGTTAAGTAAAGGAGTCTTTAATAATTAAGTATATATATAATTTATTATTTAGTTATTATTCATATTTTATTGTCTGATAAAAAATGTTATATTAGACTATAATTTCTACATTTTACAATATGTTTGTCGCTGCACATAGAAAGGACGAGTATGGAAGAGCCGAATTGCGGAGGGAATGACGTACCGATAAATGAAGCAGCCGTCGCAAAATGTCGCGTAAACGCGTTACAAAGGGTGAGGGAGCAAGAGCGGAAGCCGCGACGCCATGTTGGGGCGGCATCCGCGAGCCACTCGCTTCTCACGATTGGTTGAAGGCTCGTTTCGAAACATCAATTCGGCGCGCAGTCGTGCTCAGCCCCGACTTCTAGCGAAGCTTCGCATTCGATCCGCGAATCGCGACCGACCAACAATACGGGAAAAGATCCGCTGCTTAATGGCGAGCCTTCCGCAATTCCGTGGACACGAATGCTTTCGTGCCACTTTCCTACTCGCGGATCTCCATTTAACCGAATGAATTGATATTGGCGCGCAGCATTTTAGTATCCTGCATATGCGCGCAGTGGCCGCATATTGCTTTATCTGTGCGAAGTCTAATAACGTTGTGTTAGGCCGGAATCAGACTACACATTGAAGAATGAGATTGAAGATTGAAAGATTGAAGTTTGACCAATTAGAACAAAAGGAACCAAAATTTCTTTGTCCTCATTGGAAATTTCAATCTTTAATCTTTATAATCTCAATCTTCAATGCATAGTCTGATTCCGGCCTTAGTAAGAAAAATGCGCACATAAACTGCTTCAAATCCGGGATAGAAGCACTTATAGTAATTCCAATATCTATAATAACTTTCAGGAGAATGATTACGAGCGCGGGTCAATAGTCGGATTGTCCTTTATTCAATTGAATTTTGTTCGTGAAACGGCCAGAATTGCCAGAAATTGCCAGAAAGGCAAACGTTCGACTTCGTGGATGTTTCAATCAGTCTTGTTTTTTTAAATAAGTACTATTCAAGGCCAACGATTTTAAAAAGAAGAATTAAAATATTAGTAGGGTTCTTTTATTATTCGTCGTCTGAAAAGTTTCGAGCCTCAACATGAAGTTGGCATTTCTCATCAAAACTATTTTGGTACTACAATCGTACAGCTTTGAAAGATAACTGTGAAAATTGTAGCTACTTTGGTTCAGTTGTTGTTTGACAGTCATTTGTACCAATCGATGTTAGTGTTTTTGTAAAAATGAAAAAAATCGAATATCGCCAGTCGCCATGACAAAAATTTACAAATTAAGGTTCGTATTGATTGATCACCCCTCGTTTTCATCAGATCTGACTCCCAACGATTTTTTCCTGTTTCCTAGGCTCAAAGTTTGGTTTGGAAGACAGAGATTTTCATTAAACAAAAATACTGACATCAACTGGCGCAAATGACTGTCAAACAACAACTGAACATCCAAAATAGCTACAATTTTCACAGATATCTTTCAAAACATATACAATTGTAGTACCAAAATGAGCTTTGACTAATAATGCCATTTGCATGTTGGGACTCAAACTTTTCAGACGACCCTCGTATATAATGAAAAAAATAATAAAGGAACCCTATTATATAACGTTTCAATTCTTCTTTTTAAAATCGTTATATATATATATATACAGGGTGTCCATTAAGTCGCGGACCGGGCTAATAACTTGAAAGAAAAAAAAATTTTCTAAAAACGCCGAAACACGTCAAAATATTTTTCAAAAAATCTATCTTTTGAGGGGGGT